TCCGATCTGAAAATAAGAACCAAGAGAGATTATGTAAAGGTGCAAATTTCCAATGATGAATGTCATTATATTGTATACATAAAATGTGCCAGTGGTTAGAATGAATAATTGATAATGTAAAATAGGAAGAAAAGGTCCAAAGGGATAGGGGAAGTGGGAGGAGTAGGGGAAAGAAAAAAAAAAACAACATTCTCCAACTTTGAGGTTTCCTAAGAGCTCAGAGAACAGATATTTATCTTTGGCTCTTTGTTTGTTTGTTTATTTATTTGAGACAGGATCTCATCATATAGTCCAGGCTAGCCTCAAACTCGAGATCTGCTGCCTCAGGCTCCCAAGTACAAGGATTACATGTATGCATACCCAGCTAAGAGGAAAGAGAATTAGAAAGGTCTTACCACCTTTCATGGTAGTCCCTGCTCATCCGTAGGCTCCTCCCATGGTATTTTCTGGGCCCAGCTCCTTTTCTCCCCACTAGTTTTATCTCAGGGCCTTCTTTCAAGGAGCTCAGAGTTGCTGTGGACACTATAAATCTCTTTTCTTCCTCAAGGAAAATCAGCAGCCAGGATTTTACCAGCTCCAAGCAAATAAGCAAATAACCCCCTTGCCTTCAAGAGGGAGAAAGTGCTTTGCATCCTGTGAAGGGAGGATGCTTACCTCAGCTGCCATTGGCTTGTTGATGCTATTCACAAATTTGTTCACGTGTTCAAAGTGTTTTGTCATCTCTGTTGCCAAAACCATGTCAATAATAGCCTGGCGCAGCGTTCGATAATGGTTCCTAAAATAACCGAAAGAAAAAGGGCCTTGTTCATGTTGTGTCCTGAATTAGAACTGCTCTGCTGCCATGTCACCAAATGTTCCCCAGCCTGGGAGGACAGGAGGACAGAGTCAGATGAGTACAGATCACAAGAGATGTTGCTTGTTTGTCCTCCTGAAAAGCCAGGGTCTTGGACTCTGTTCTATGCTACCTAGTGACGACAAGTATGAAGGCACCTGCCAAGTGGCAGGCACTTATAATACAAGGTGAGTCCCCTCCCCCTCCCTGGAGAACAGGGGGCAAAGGAGGTGACAGGCAGGGACAGCAACCTGAGGAGCCTCCCACTACAGTCCCCATGGACAGATTCCTACAGAGAACCAGCAGGACCCCTGATGATGACAGCTGTGGAAGGGTCTCCTGTTGAGAAGTAATTCTCAAGCTCGCAACTGACAAGTTGTAGTGGATGGAACAAAAACCCAAAATGACTGTCCAATTTCTATCATTTCTAACTTCAAGAGCCAGAATGGGGAGATGAATAAAACTGGCTGTTGGAAAGAATTCTTTCTGCTAAAATTAAAACAAACAAACAAACAAAAATTAATCCTTGATACAGATGAAGCATAAGATGAAGCTGGAAGAACTGGTCTCTGTATTTTCCAGATTTTGGGAGACCACACTGAAGGTCCATGTAGACAAGCAATCCAGATGACCAAGTGAGCTCTGCATCCTCTCCAAGGACTTTGCCCAGCAGCTGGATGGTGCTGCACAGGAAATACCCACTGCCTGACCACAGGAGCTGGCAGACAAGAGGGGCTGTTCCTATGTGGCCACATCTAGCCAGCTCTCAGCTGCCCAGTCCATGGGCTCCGCACTTCCCCCGGGACCTCCTCATGAGCTGGGAAAAGACAGGGAAGGACGCATTTTTCTTTGAGTTACATGAAAGACAGGATGTCTGGGAGGGTAAAGACTTATTAGTAATACAGTTAATATGTGTGTGGTACTTTGAGGTATACAAAACATTTTCATGAACTTACCGATGACCAAATGAGATTTAAAAAAACAGAGACAGTCTGAAAAGTAAAATCAAGCTTATGAGGGCCAGGTTACTATTTTATCATCTGATACAATGGTACAACTATTATTTCCATTCCCCCTAAGCTGAGCTTGCAGAATGTCAGGGAAAATGGAGTTCTCCACTTGAGGGTCACACTAAGCACAGGAGCCCGAGCACAACCAACCTGTCAATGTTCTTGAAAATGTTGCATTTGGCATCCTTGACGGTGAGCTGGAAGGCCAAGGCTGTGTGGTGACTCTCCAATACTGCAGTGTCGTTGTAGAGCACAGCGAGCTCACTGCCGGCATTGCACAGGAAGGAGTTCGTCCTTCCAGGATGATCCACATCATGGACTGTGGCAGCAATCAGCGCTGCCACCTCATCCAGCTGGTCAAGGCTTCCCTGGAACAAGGAGAAGCAATGTCAAGCATTACCCATGGGATCCCAGAGACCTCTTGGGAGGGGACAGGCCAAGGGATTCAGGGTTTCACCGCATTCTTTTAGCCCTCCTGCCTTAGGTAAGAGTTGGCCTTGGACACACTATATCTTACTGGATGTGTTATCTGGAGGGAAATGGAAGTCTGAGCTGCACCCACAGCAGATGCCTAAACTCTCCAGAGCCCATGCACCCATTTGTGGAGTGCCATGGCTTAGATACAAAATGTTCCCTGGAATCTCATGTGCGTGGAAGGAAGGTGACTGCATCACAACATGCTGTACTCATCAGCGGATTCAGGCACTGAGTAGTTCCCTAGCTGAATGTGCTGCTGGGAGTGGAACCTGGCTGGCGGTGGTGACTGGGGTGTGACCTGGAAGGATGTATTCTTGTCCCTGGCTCCTTCCTTCTTCCTCTGCTTCCTGGCTGCCATGACATGAGCATCTTTCCCCATCTCTGCCCCTCTGCCATCCTGTTTCTGCCTCGCAGCCAGCTGATTGTGGACTGGAAGTGTGAGCCAAAATAAACATGTCCTTTAAAGTTGGGGGGGTGGGGTGGTACTGAGTCCAACAACAGGAAAGTAACTACAACAGCAGGGAGAACCCAAATGCCTTTTGAATTGCCTGCCGAGTGGTACTGCGGCGACTTACTTTTTTGTCCACTTCGGAAAAGACCTCGAAAGTGCTGATAGTAAACAGCACAGATGTAACAGCATTAGCCACACGATGGCAGAACGAATAGTGCCCAGTAATAAAAGAAGATCAAGGGGGAGAATAATTTTACCAGGAAACTCAAGGCTAAGGGGGTTCGGCAGCCAAGAACAAGATAAGTGCTGGGCTAGCAGGCAGCAAGGGCAAAAAGGGCAACTCTCTAAAGCTTTCATTATGCAAACAAAGAATACAATCGCTAGCATCGGTGGCACATGTGCTCTCAGCTCGCAGTTATCAGTGGGACTCTGAGATATAAGACACACTATACTATGAATCTATCCATCCAGTAATTATTTATTAGGGGCCAACTGGATGCTAGTTACCATGCATAATGTCTGCAATGATTTATATGGACAGAGTCTCTGAACTAACAGAGCTTATACTCTAGAGGGAAACGCAAATAAATTTAAAAACATGGTGAGAAATGTTAAGAAGAAAAGCACAATTGTTTTAAGAGTATAACCACAAGGCCCAGTCTAGTTTGGGGCAACAGTTCCCCAATGCTGTGATGAGAAATATTATTTGTGCTACCATGGGTAGCTTCTGGACATTTTAAGTGTGGCATGTGCAATGGAAGAACTGTTTCTGATTTTATTTAATATTAGTAGCCATGTGTGTCTAATGACCACCAAACTGGACACCACAGAGCCAGAGAGTGGCCAGGGACATCTTCTGGAAAGCAATGAGTGACCTCACAGAGAAGCAGGTCTTAGCCAAGCCACACGTGGCATGAGAGAGCACCCCAGGAGGAAAGAAGGGCCTCAGGGAAGTTCCTGCAGACAGCCATGTGCTGCAAAGGGCTTACTCAGAGCCTAGAGAACCCCTGTGGCAGGGGCTGGGAACAAGGGAACGGGGTCCCTGGGATGAAGCTAGAGGGTGGTGTATGCCTGGGTGTCCCCCCTTGCCTGCACAGGATTGTGGGAGGCAAAGCTAATTCTCTGGTGAAGATGTTGAATCTGAAGCTCAACCCTTCCTGTGCTGCGCCCACTGTAGTGCCTGGGTCAGTTTAGGGTTGCACTGGGCTTGTCTGAAAAGTTCTGTGCCCCGTAAAGGGAGCCAGTTCCAGTTGGAATCCTGGCGTTGGACCTGGGGAACAACCCTGAATTGGTCCCAGTCCACATGACCAGATCTCCAGAGCACAGGAGATGCAATTCCAGCTGCTCAGCTGCAGTGGCCAGCGTCGGCCAGCAGGGTAGTCTCCCTTCATGGCTCAGGGGAGGCCACCATAGCTTCCAAGCTCAGGATCCAGAGCTGCCCCTACTCAGGTGCCACCTTCCATGGCTCTTCCTGCCCCAGGCCTCCAGCTACTGCTGCCTAGTCTGTCCCATGCTGCTGGAAGTCTTAGGCCCACTTACTTTTAAATGATTCAAAGAGGCAGTTCAGGTAAGGGGTAGAAAATACAAGTGGTACCACATGGGAACTGCTTTTCTTTCCAGCTTACCCTGATTTAAAACAAACTCCATGACAATGGCACTTGGAAGAAGGTACCAATAATGGGCATGTCCTGCAGTGGACAGAAAAGGCTGGGAGGTGGGAGAAGATGGGCAAGCTCACCAGCAAGGACAGAAGAGGAGCCAGCCCTCCTCTCTGTGTTTGGGGATGGGAGGCTGTTTGCAAGAAATCCCCAGACCTGCGCTGGCAGAACTCCAATTCCTTGGAGTACAGATGTCCCTGTGAAGTTTCTCCCTTCTTTAGCCAGAAGATCTGGATCATGCCAAGGGAGGCTGGCCAGTGTGGGCTCTCTTTCTGGGTCAGCCTGTTCCACAAGAATCACTTAGGCCCAGGGAATGAGAATCTGGTCACTCCACCCTCAGTGGGTCCTGGAATGTGGAGGGAGTAGCCAGAGGATGAGGCCTGGGATGCACCAAAAGGCCCGTCAGCTCTGGGTGCAGTTTCTGTGGCTGGGCTGGGGATGTGGTACAAGAGTGACTTTAAGAATTGGCACCTTGGGGCTGGGAATGGAGTGTGTGCTTAAGGCCCTGGGTTCCAAACCCAGCACACACACAAAAGAGTTAAAGCCACTTCAGGCCTGGCTTCCTCAGGAGAAGCCTACCAGCCCTATGTCCAAGGTTCTCTGCAGCTCTCTGTCTTTGGAGCCCCTGGCAGGGGCTGGGGATTATGAACATATTATATTTAGTCTTAACCTGCTTCTAGGGCTTGAGCAATTCAGTGAGACTCAGAGTGCAGCAGCAGAAGGCACTACTTAAAGGAAACCTGTGGAGGAGCAAGGCAGGGAGAGCAGGGAGGGATGACACATTCCCTAGTCCAGGACAAGTCCCATCTGTGTCCCTCTGCATAGGAGCAGGCCAGGCTCCCTCACGAGACTGCACAGGGGACCTCTGGTCTTGGCGCTAATGACCTGGGTGCTGTTCCCAGTTGGCAGTGCGATCCCAGCTGGGTGCACACTATGGCAAAGGGAAAGGGGCTGTGGCCCCTCAAGAAAGGCCCCACAGACATAGGTGGATGCCATGGTTACCTTTTTTTTAAGGTAAAATACAAAAATCTCAAAAAGCATCATTTTTAGACCATATGCTTTGCTTTCTTGTGGATGAAAGTGAGCACCTGGGTAAGTTTTTGACAAACTGAGAAGAACCAAGTTTCTCTCCAGTTTTGGTGCCATTCTTGTGTCTTCTGCTGCCGCATTCTCTTTTCCTTAAATCCTCATCAACACCTGTCAAGAAAATTTTACCTCCTGGTACTGAGGTTTGAAACCACGCCTTCACGCTGAGTTATGTTCCCAGCCCACTTTTTACTATTTACCTTGAGACATGGTCTTGCTAATTGCTCAGGCTAGGCTTGAATTTGTGACCCTCAGCCTTCTAGAGTCCTGGGATTACAGATGTGCACCACTACACCTGGCTCCCAGAAAACAATCTAACGTTAGGCATTCAGATGAATGTGAATTCTGCCTCCCTGTGGCGCCTTCCCCAAGGGTACCTAAAGTTTAATCTTTACTTCTGTTTGTGATGAAGGAGTTCCAAGGTTCTTGTGAAAGTGACAGTACTTGAGAGGGAAGGGTGATGGGGTCCCTGGCAGCTTTCCATGGGGTTGGGGCTGCTCTGCCAATAGCTCTCACACGTGGCAGACAGCACTGAATTCTGCAGAAGACAGGGTATATGGGACTCTCACAGTTAGACAGAGGTCACTGTCACAGACACACGCTCATGTCCACAGGAAGCACCCACATATATGTCAATCAGGACGACACAGAGTGGCTCATTATTATCTGGATTATAACCCACCAAGTGGCCAAATTCTGCTACTGAAACTTAACTTCAAGACCCAGTAACCATATGCTGGAATAATTAATCCTTAACTGCCTAGTGATCCAGTTCTGGAACACCCATAACAATAGAACATAATAAAAAATTTTCTCTTCAAATTCTTGTTCCTTGAAATTTTCTAGTTAACATACATGAATTTCATGCAAAAATTTTTAAAAATTGCAATCTTTAGCATAAATGGGTTAAGTTCTGCCATGCAGCCAAATTTCACAAAGCTCCTGGCAAAGATTTGGAGCTGGACTCATGGGTCAACCATGCATATAAAGGAAACTCTATGGTGGCATAAATTAATATTTTGAGCATTTGAGGGAGGGAAGAAAGACCATGTCTTAATAACACTGAAATGACCAATGTGGTAGTCAAAGAACCTTTGTTAAATTAGTTGCAAAATAGCTGTTGGCCTAATGTACTTAACAACACAGAGCTCCTGGATCTCCACTCTAGGCAGGAAGCTAGATTATGGCATCAAAACCCTACCTTGACTCTTTCCTTTCCGAGGAAGAAAGCCGTGGCGTGCAGGACATCCGCAGCATGGGTGGAGTTGTGATAGGCATTGGAGGAGTGGTAGTTGGCTTCAATCACTTGGAGCCACGCCCGAAGGGTGGTTTCGGAGCAGTTTAGAAATTCACACACTCCAAACCGGGAGAAGACCTTTAAGCCCAAGTAAACCAATGGCCTGCAAGAGAGGAAAACCAACCCAGGCTCACTGAATTCATGGGCCCAGAAACTCTCTTCTTGGATGATGTTGGGGAATGGAGGCATTTTCCTGATTATTCTGCCTGCACGGGGGCATGAAAACACCTCTTCCTCATATCAGTAGGGAGTAGTGTAGCTTCTCCCCAATGACCTCTTGGAATGAGGGCCACATTACAGTGGACCTTTGACTTGTGAACTCGATGGGTTCCCTAGGGCTGGTTGTAACTCAAGTTGGTTGTAAGTCAATACAGTTGAGATCTGGATATTTACCTGGGTACTTGCTATAGGTAACAGGCCGATGAATCTTTCATTAACCTAATGCACCCAAGTTGTTCGTATGTTAGGCTGGCCGTAACTTGAGGGTCCACTGTATTTCTGGATTATTTTTAAGTCAGTGACAACCAAGAAAGGTCTGTGGCAGTGTCTGTCTCCCTTCACTTCCACATAGGCTCTGAGCCTGCTTCTCCCCCCTGAGCTGGAGGACACAAGGAACAATGTGCATGGTCTCAGCCAAATCACAGCATTTAGTCCTATTTCTTACTGATAGTGAGAGTTATTCATATCCCACACAGAGCAACCCTCCAGGGGCATAAGAGATCCTCTGGCTCTCTAACCTTTCACCTGCAAAAAAGTCAAGAAGAAGCTATTGTGCTCTCAAATTACCCTTTTGTTTTCTTTTTCTTAATTTGGACAGGGTCTTGCTATGTTTTGCAGGCTGGCCCCAAATGCCTGAGTTTAAGCAATTCTGTTACCTTAGTCTTTCAAGTAGCTGGGACTACAAGTGGGGTCAGTGTACCCTGCTTCAGGTTTATTTTGCAAGATGGAGCTTTAGCAAGTCTGGGGATAAGCAAACATAGCACTCCTGTCTCACAAGCATGAAGGAATGAGCTGGGCAGATGTGGAGACGCCACGGCTACCCCGCTGCTCCTTACCCACACATACTCCCTCTCCACAGAGGAGCACACACAGGACACACATCTTCCTCAGTCACCAGTTGGGAAGGCCTTGAACGTAAGGGCCAGACTCCCTCCCCCAGTCTGTGGCCACACCGTCATGTACCTTTTATGTGTGACTGCTTCCAGCTCAAAGACGTTGAAGTCCCAGCTTTCCTCATTATCGAGCAGCTGGGTGATACACGGGGGGACATCATTGATGGTGACAGGCATCACGAGGTGACTATGACTCTGGTGCACATCTGAGCAAACACGCAGGGTGGGAGGCTGGTTAACCGTGGGGTCTTGGGGTCCCTGAGTACCTGTTATCATTATGATGGTGACACTAGAAAAACAAGTCTCGAACTTCCACAGGAAGGAAATTTTCATGTCACGGGTTTTCTCTTACATTATGAAACCTCTAGATCCCCAAAGAGAAAAACAATTCAGCTTAGCTGTGTGTTTAAATGTACAGAGATCTACAAGGCTTATTCTAACAGTGCTCAGAGAAGTAATTTAAATTAGGAGTCCTAGTTTCAAATACAGACCATAGAGCTACACACAGTTGAATGCAGTCAACTAGAAATAACATCAAGGCCTTCCTAGAGCAATAATCACCACACCGGGGGTGGCCGGAGGTGGAGACAGGCTATCAGTAATGGGAGAAAGATAAACACTTACTCTTCGTGAAGACATACTCATTTCCTGACAACCTTCTCAACCCATCCTGGAACAAAAAGAGACTCGGTTAGAAGCATGGTTTATATCCCATCCTCCTGTGTTCATCTTCTTTGTTAGCCAGAGATCTGAACACCCAATCCCTGCCATGCCAAGCTGAGGCAGAGCTCAATGTTAAATGTGCAAAACAGCTGGAAGGCAGGTGGTGCACTCCCATGGCTGCTGGTCCCGGGAGGTGGAGAACTGGGGACACGGTGGATGTGACTGTGCTCAGGTCTCCCACCTGTGTTGGCTTGGTTTTCATAGCGTCTTTCTCTTCTGGCATTTTGAAACCATGTGAGTGAAATCACAGAATCATCTTGCATTGGATACATGTAATTCTGATGTATCTGAAGTGGTTCCTTAGGGACCCTGTTACGTTCTCAGATTGACATTTTGAGGAGTCAAAGTCACAGACCACACATGGTGGATAGTCTAATGTAAAGTCATTAAAAAGTTGGGCTCATTTTTCAATAGTATCTAAATTAGTTTTTTCTAACTACTTTTTTGGTTGTTTGTTTTGAAGCATGAGCATTGCTGCTAACTTTTTAGAGAAAAGTTCTTAGATTTGAGGGCTCTGGAGAGGTCAAGTACAAGTGAACAGAGAATTCCAGTGTTCTATCTACTGGCTCTTGGAGTTGAAACAGTTTGCAAATATTCTTGAGTCTGTTTCCTTGCCTCTTCTATCCCTCACCTCATTATGCAGGTCTTTGTTTAAATGTCACTAAGGTTTAAAGGAGTATCAGTGAAGGACTCCCCTGAAGTCTCAGATCTTTAGGCCAAGAGTTTAGTCTTTAAAAGGAAATAAGTAGATTAGTAACCACAGCCACAGCTGTCCTGATTCCAAGGCAAGCATGGGAATGTCCCTGTTTTTCCTTACCTGACTATAGATGTAAAGATTTAAAGACAAGATTCAGGAGCTAAGATTTTGGAAGCTGCTATCATCTAGGCACAGAGCTTTTCATTACACACTCATTCCCTGGTCTCCTCGCGGATTCATTCCAGGGCTGTCCCTGGATGCTACAATCTGAGGGTGCCCAACCAATGCACATCCTCCTGTGTATTCTAAATTCTACTGAGTTACTTATAATACCAGATCCAGTGTAAATGCTATGTAAACTGTTGCTGTGTTGTTTAGGCAACGACAACAGAAAAAGTCTGTACATGTTCAGTACAGATGCAAATTTTTTCAGTGTTTTCAATCTGTGGTTGGTTGAATCCACAGATGAGGAACCTGGGAACACAGAGGCCAACTGAAGCTCCAGGAAATACAGCTGTGACCCTTGGCCCAAAGCTATCATCCGGATCAAGGGGAAGCAGCAGGTAGCCCTGTTCTGCATTCTTAGTCGCCATCCACAGAACTCAGCAATCGAGGCAGCTGCGTCTGGTTATCAGTACTGCTGTTCGCCTACACAGCAGTATCTCTGCAGCTGCAGGTTAGCGTTGGCAGGTCAGATGGACTCTAGCGGCCCTGAACATGGTCCCCTTTGATTCTGCACTCACAGTCATCAGGCCTCCAACTAGGTCACTAGTGTGCGGGTCTTCATCTTTGGTTCCCAGCTGAGGAGAGTAGAGTTCTGTGGTCCGTAGAATTTCCAGAACTCTGTCCAAGGCTTCTGCTACTGTGACTGGGCTGTTTTCTTGGGCTGCATTGATGATATTTATAACCTAAGGAAGAGAGAAAGAATAAAGGAGAGGGCAGCAGACTGCTCCTTCCCAAAGAAAGATGTGTGCCTGGGGTCTAGAAAGCAGGTGACAACATCATACTGTCCAGGGCTGAAACATGCCGTGCAGCCCTGCTGTCCCGTGTCCTCCCCTCAGGACCTCGTTGCTGATCTTTTCTGGGGGTTAGAGTTCCTCAGAGGTTGGTCTGGGCCTCTCTCACTCCAAAGCCCTTCAGAAATAGCCTTTCATTCCCATGTCCGAACACACGTCACCCACACATGGTCTCTCAAGCCCCTGAGCTGGTCCCAGCCTGCAGATCTGCAGATTTGACTGCCTGCCTGATATAGATAGCTATGGCCACATCCTACATGTCTGAAACTGAACTCGCAGTTCTTGTTCCTCTTCCCTCCAAGCAAGCAGATAAACAGTTTTTAAAAATCAAAGACAAAGGTTTTCTCCTCTGGCTCTTACCCTGTGTGGCGAGCACTCCATCTGCCTCAGGCTCCAACCAGAGCCCCAGAGGCCCTGCTTGGCACGGGACCTTCTCTCTGTCCTCTCCCCGCCCTGACGACCCTCCAGCTGATGTTGGCCCTCCCATTTCTTATCCGTTCATTTTTCTCCACTCCCATGGCCTCAGTTCTAGGCTCAGCTGCCATGGATTCTTGCCAGGAATTGGAGAAAAGCCCCCAATCAGCCTGTTCTCTTCTCTTTTGCTACCCTGATCTGTCCCCTGTATGGCTGCTGAGTGTTCTTGACAGTCACACACCTGACTACTTCCACCCTGCAGTAAACTCCTGCATGCTTTCTGTCGCACATGAACTACTACGGCTGTTACAACCTGACGGACAGGGCATCCTGAGCCGGTGGCCACGTCTCCACCTTCTAAGCTCGCTGCAGCTCCAGCTCCAGCTCCATGACTTCCTTCCAGGCATCTGGGAAACACTTTTGTACTTTCTCCTTGCTATCCCTGCCCCTGCAGGGACTTTCACGCATCAAGTCCTCTGCAAATGCTTCCTCCACAGGGCAGCATTCCCTGAGCCTCGCACTTTCCTCTCTTTTCCTCTCATAGAGCCCTGTGGTTTTCCTTCCCAGCATTTGCTATCATTTATAACTACACATTTATGCATTGCGCCTTTCATACCTGTTTCTCCCACTAATTCACAGGCTCCAGATACCAACAGACTCATCTCTAGCCCACAGCCCGGGGCTGGAGGCCCTGCAGAGCAAGGTGACAGTGGCCACTCACCTTCGTGATGGGCGCTTCGATGGTCATGGAGTGGATCCTTGCCATGGATGGGTAGCGACGGTTCTGCAGGCTCGGGGCTGGGGAGAAGGCAAGAAAGATGTGTCCCGTTCTGCTGGCTCAGCCTAGGTGCTGCTGGGTAGTCCCTGCATGGACCTGGGGACAGGATTCTCCCAGGACTAACGTGTCCCATCAAAAAAAAAAAAAACCCAAGAAAGTCACCTGCCTTTTATTCCTAGAAGGTGAACAGCTCAGCCTGACCTGCCCACGTGTGGAAAGGTGGTCTGGGCTGGGACTCCGGTGACCAGAGGACCGAGAATTTCAGAGGCTGATGGGACCTGTGCCTCCCCTCCCCACAGGTCCCTGAAGCCTATGGTTCCATCCCTTTCACTCCTAAGCTGGGACATGGGACAGGTTAATGGAGCAGCATGGCAGGCAGGCAAGGCTCATGGTCATAGTGTGGGGCAGAAGGTGGAGCCACTCCCTGTGGGAGCTGGGGTGGTGTCACCTCCTTTCCGAGCCTCTAGGTTTGTAAAGCCAGAACCCATGGTGGGTCTAGCTCTAATGTGCAGAAACTTTCTTTTCTTTTTTTTTGGTACTAGGGATCGAGCTCAGGACCTTGCACTTTCGAGGCAGGTGGCTGAACCACTGAGCTAAATCCCCAGCCCCAGAAACTTTCATTTAAAAATAACTACATTTTTGAAAAGATAATCCTTATGCATGATTTAAAATGGAAAAGGTAGAGGCTTTTACTGAAAGCAGCGTTCCCATCTTCTCACCCTCTGGGCAGGCAAGAGGAGTGGCAGCTGCATCTTAGAGACAGCAGTGGAGTGGCCTGCTCCTGCCGGCGTGGCTGCCACCACCACAGCCTGCCCTGTGCACTGCCCTTCACTGGGACCCAGCTCGAGCTGACCTTCCAAACTGGGCTGGCCAGGTTCAAACACCCGCATGCGCATTGCTTTCCATTTGCTCTGTCTGAGTGCACCCTCAGCCTGGCCCAGGACACACCATCCACAATCTCCTCTCACACTTGGGCCCCACCAGCCCACCCATCTCACTCTCTGAGCCGCCCATCTCGTCTCTGGTGTCCCTGTCCTTGAGATTTCAGCTCCATCCCTCATTCTCAGGCTTCCCACTGTGACTGGAAGGCCGGGAAGTCCTCCACTTGGCCTTCTTGTTCATTCCTTTAAGTCACCACCCTGCACCCCCTTTCTGAGGAGACACTAGTTCTTCCCTCCTCGTGCCCTTACAGACTGGCTTGCCAGTTGTCAAATGCAAACCACATGCAAGCTGGGGTAAGAGCCCTTGCCTAACACAGGTGAGGGCCTGGGTTCCACTCCAGCACTGCAAAAATGAAACAAAAAGAGCCCCAAATGAATGAGTGAAATCCAGCAGGGGTTCTCAGCTCTCAGGCTCTAAGTCTCTGCCTCCCTTTCTCCTGATACCTCTTGCTGTCAGTTCACATAATTCTACTCACCTGGCTCTGCCCTCTGTCCTCTGCTATGTCCCTGTTCCCTCTGCATCTCCCTCAGGGTGCTGTCAGGTGAGGATGCCATTCTCGGCCCCAGGATTCCTCTACACCCAGACTCCCAAGCCCACATCTCCCACCTGAGCCCCAGGCCTGCATTTCAGCTTCCTAGGCATGGCCGATACAATAAAACTCCTCCAAGCCACCCCTGGAGACTCTCATTTCTGTAAATATTACAATTTCCCAGGCACAAAGGAGTAACATTTCAGAATTGGCTTCAACTTTTCCAACTCCTCGTAAATCTGATTGGTTACTCAGCCCCGATTCACTGAACTCAAAGCATTTTTTGCCAAATTCTGCTTTGCAGAGCCGAAATGTTTTACTAAATTCTGACTTGCAGTTTTTATGATGTTTCATTATTGGAAATTAAGTGCTTGTAGCAGGTGCAGTGACAAGTGACTGTTTGCTGCTGTCAGGACACAGGACACCCAGCACTGAGCTTGGCTAGCCTGAAACTGATTGCTTGGGCAGCTACGGAGGCCAACACAGCTCAGGCCTGGAGTCCCTTCAAAGAGAAGACAAGGACTGCAGAAGGCACAGAACTTTTTTTTAAATTAAAAACTTTCAGTTTACTGGGGAGGAGGTAGTTGAAATCTTTCTCCTTAGAGTTTATATGTTGACCAAGTCTTGAACAAATTCCTGTGTCATTTTCTACGTTTTCAAAAGGTCAAAGAAATCAGAAACATGCCTCACCGTCACTGCCTCGGGACGAAATGGACTTAACATCAATGGACTCTTTCCTCCTGTTCTTGTGCCGCGCGGAGTGAAACTCTGGGTTTCAGATCAGAAACGGGTGGGAGTTAGTTGGCAGCATATTCATAGACGAAGTTTACATGCTTTTTCCTTATTCTTTGAAGAAAACAAGGTTACTTTTTAAGCAATAGAAAATAATTTTAAGAAGTACTAAGCCCCTTTCCCTTCAAATCATTAAGACACAAACTTACAGTCAGTAGGAAAACGACGCCTTTTTGTATTTCTGGTGCCACATTGCATCACAGGAATGGAGTTTATCATTGAGGGTTATTTAATTCCAGGGGTCAAATATCATCGTGAAATTAAACACTAAAATTTGTGGGGGTTCATCTTAACATGAAAAACATATTCAACTGGATGGGGAAGACTCATGGGAATATCTGAGGAAATGAAATACCAGTGAAACCCACAGATCTTTTGCATTATTTAAGAAACTAATTCAGATCAATTTGGGGCAGCTTTGAAAAGTCTAGATGGTCTTTAGGTTCCCTAAGGATGCATCGCATCAAACAATGCCTATGTCCTGCTGGGCACAGAGAGGGAAGCAGTTTTAGATCACCAACAATTTCCAAAGGCTAAGCTCTCACCCTCATCCTTATTTTCTGAGGGAAAAAAAGCATTTTAAAATGCTGCATAAACAGCTGAAAACTTTGAACTTGACTACAAAACTGCATGTGACCAGTGAGTACCAAGGTATAAAAACTGTCCAGGCAGCAGGGCTGTATTTTGGAACATGTATTTCCAGGGCCCTGGCCTCTGGTGGGTAACTCATGACCAAGGAGAGAAACACAACACATGGAGAGAGTGGGCAGACAGGCCGGGTCCAGCAAGAGAGGGCAAGGAATGTCTCAGATCACATTCCATGGAGGAAAGAAAGATGCAGTGATGCTTCTAGTCTGGTGGTTAAGAAAACCAGCTCAGAGCCAAACCGCCAAAATTCAAATCTCCACCGTGCCGCCTTGAGGCCGTGCAACCTTGGGAATGTTACTTCACTTCTCGGTGTCTCTGTCTTCAAGTCTATAAAGTTGGCATAGTTACCAGGGTCTCGTTCATGGGCTGTTGTGAGAAGTCAATGAGTCAATCCATGCATAGCCTTCAGAACAGTGTGTATCACCTGGTAAGCGTGTAGTGTGCAGAATGCCACTTAGCATGATCACTTGCATGGCATCCGTGGCAGATTAAGCATCTCCTTACACACACAATGGATGCTATCATACGGTTTCACTATTTGCCATTTCCACTTCATGGTATGTCTTAGACACTTTCCTCACTTTTTAAAACCCTGTTAGTATCTTAAGAAATCTGATTCAACAACAACAACAACAAAAAATGGTTAGGTCACTAACTAAACCTGAATTATATTTATACAGCAGGAAGTAAAGGAAGAACTATAATAAAATTAATCTGATCACCATAGCCACATAGCCTTGTCTTAATATCAAACTATTTACTATTCCTTTGCCCAATATTCATCTTCCAGATGCTGCCTTAATTTTCCTATCCCTGGATACAAGTTTCCATATTTCTTTATAAAGACCTCTAGAGAGAGCAGTAATTGAAGGGCTATTATCAGGCTCATATGGTAGCTTTCAAAGCCTGAAAAATTGATTTGGTTCTCATAAGACACTTGTTTTTAGCCTATGCAGGGACTTAATAATCATATATATTCCTAACATTTATCTGTTTATCAAATCACAAATTAGATTTAACTTTAGACTCAAATGTTTAAAAATCAAAAATTCTCCAAAATATAGGTCCTAAATAAAACAGAGTAGGAAACTTAGTTTCAAGGTTGTGATCCAGGCTGCTTGATTGAACTCTAAATAATTCACTGGAATTTATTCAAAGACAGATAATACTTATTCTTCTTGATTTTATCTCAGAATTAGGAGAACCTAAAGCAATTGAAATGACTGAAAGTTTGGAGAAATTATTCTTCAATAAAGACTAAAGCAAGGACATTTAAATCAAAGAATTCATTACTCATCCTTAACAGATGCCTGTAGAATGAATTAAAAATTTTAAATCAGAAAAAGAAGGATAAAGGAGATTTAAATAGCTGTACTCAGTGTCAAAAAAGGGATAATGTGTCACCAATAAAAAGTACAGCTACCACTTCCTGGGCACCTACTATGTGCTGGCCATTGTGCTGCTGTCTTGTCACTAGTTTAGACTGGGGAGGATCACTTGAGATTTGAGCAATTTGAAGGAGAAGCAGAGCTGTGGAAACCTCTGCCCACACCTTCATCCTCAGTGCTCAGCTCAGCCGCTGCATTCTCAGCAGTCCTCAGCCACTTGGACCCCCGTCCTCACAGCAGTCTGGCTGTACAGACACAGGGGTCTACATAACAGTGGCTGCATGCCAGCTTCGACCTCGAATACATCTGTTATTTACACTGAGGCTGATGAGGTGCACCTGCCCTCAAATCTTGCTGACGTGGACCTAATGTCCACTGGAAATCACCCACTGCCCTGGGGCTGAACCACAGTGAAGCTATTTTGGGCTTTATTTTCCCTATAGCTATGTGCTTTAAATGTAATAATTATCTCATTTAATAATGACAACAGTTCTGAAAGCTACAAAGTGCTGTCTACATTTTAATGATAAGGAATCTACACTTGGAGAGATTATGTAGGTAGCCCAAAGTCAAAGAGCTAAAAAGCGGTGGAACCAATTCTTCCCAAAATGGAAGTGTTAATGCTCAACGCTTTGTACTTATTGAGTATCTGCCATGCACAGGTGATGCTGGGTGCTATGAAGGATATGAAAGGCTCATTACACTTTTTGGTACAAGCTTACAAGTTTGTTAAATAATACCCTCATTCAAAGTTTTTAAGAAACTAAAACATCTGCAGGAGAGTAGATGTGTCATTTGAGGCTGTTCTGACCCAGAACGTTTTCAGAACAAGTGAAGGAAGACACCACACTGGCAAAAGCCAGCTACTGCTAGATATTACCTACACTGTCTTCTTTAGTCATCATTAACAGTGAAATGAGCACTGTTAATTCATTCTATAAATGAAGACAATTAAGGCCAGAAAGAGCGAATGAACTCTTTCTGAGTAGGCTAAATATGGTCATTCTAGAACCAAGGACAGGGACTAAATAATTCTCCCAGGGTTTGACTTCAGGCAGCAACAGTGCACAGAATGGCTGACTGCAATCCTTACAAGAGAATAGTAAATCTCTAGTAGTAGACCGATTTCTTTCCTCTAATGGTCAGATAATTCCTGGGCTTTCCACATGTTGAAGTCATCTTGTCCAACCTTTCATTTTATGGACGAGGAAACCAAGAGTCAGAAAGAATCTTGCCCAAGGTCTGAGATGAGTGGGTGTGAGCTGCACTGGAACTCAGTGTCCTGCCTCCCAGAAAGACTTGATATGACTGAACTACCACCACGTTCTCGCCCATGTTCCAACCAACCAGTATCTCCCCTAGATTTTGGGCCACTGTTTACCTGCTCCACCTGATCTCCAGCCAAGAAAAGAAATGAAGATGGGGGAGGCATTCAATAAATAAGGTTGTCATGGATGTAAGGAATGTTTTCGGGATTCCTGCTTTTTCTCTGGCTCTCCAACCTTCTGATATTAGCACTTGGATTTTGGCAATCTAGGTACTAGGGTGGTAAAAGTCAACTAAACTTCTTCAGAGCCACTGGTAGACTTGAACCCACAACAGCTCCCTCTGTGCATTAGAGTTAAATTGAAGCATTCCCACCTGTCTGAGAAATGTCTCCGGAGTCACGATGAATCTTGTGCATCTAAAGTCATTCAGAGTTGGTGAAAGAAGAGAAAGAGATTTTAAATATGACATTTGCTAAATTTCTCAAACAATTTAGTTTAAAAGCTCTGAGGACTTCAAGAAAGCAAGAAGTTACACAGAAAGCAAAACAGACGAGAGACGAATAGCAAGTGATGGGATGAAAATGCTCTATTACTTTCAGATGCTCCAAGCTGCTGAGCCTAAAAGCAGGAAGTACCCAAGGGACACACTTTCTAAGCAGCACATCTACATCTCCTGCAGAAATGCAGAGAGTCAAAAGCTACAACTCAATTTAAAATTCTATGAGGCTGATCTACAGCATGTTTGTTTTAGACGTTATAAAATTTTGCTGTAATATAAAATAATCTGAATTGAATTTTTTAAACCTTCTTTAAAAATTCTTTAAGTGATCCTCAATTACAGTCAATTTAGAAAATGTTCACAATGAGATCTAAAGACGCTGTTTCGCACCTAGTTCTTTCTCATCAGCAGATTTGTGTGTGTATGTGTGTAAATGACTTTTTGCTAGTGCACAAAATGAAGTCATCAATAAAAAGCAATGTTTTCCTGGGGTTCTGAATTCTTATTTTGTTCTATCACACTTATGATTTCGATGCTTCCTGTCCAATCCACCAGCTTCTTTTGGCCCAGGGCTCAGATCATTAAGCCTCTGTGGCCACTCAGTGAAGGGGTGGGATTCATTTGGAAATTGAGACAGGTAAGTGTGGGGCCATCGGCAAAAGATTGGGATGGCTCAGCCACACTGCTGGGAACGGGCAGAAACCTCACACGCGTCAGACCCAGGCAAGACGTCCCAGCTTGGTGGGACCATTGAAAAAAGCATGGAGAACAGAAGTGCTAAAGTGAGGTTTCTATGAACTCTTCTGCACAGTCCCTTTCACACAATTAAACAAAGTTGCACGACCCGCTGATGTGATGCCTTGGTTAGACTGTCACTAAGGGGTGCTGACTCAGTCGTCCTGTAATTATGGTACTTTTCGCTACAAAGCAACTAAGCTGAGTATGAATTTTTATACTATACACAAGGAATGAAAGTTTTGCTTTGCTCTGTGTTTGCAATCGGATGTGCTTAGCTTTGCTTTCTGAATGAAAATACACCTCTCCTTTAGGAGCAAAGGCCCACAGCTTTCCACATTACACAAGAACAAAAAGCCCTTTTCTTCTTTCGCAGGCCTGTGGGGATAGCTGGCTGAACAAAGCCTCAAGCCGGCTCCACATGCTCCCTGCAGTGGGGGTGTGTGAAGCGAAGTTCGCAGGTGTCAGCCCTTGCTCTGGGTTGGAGAGGTGTCCCAGCCATCTGAGGGACAGAGAGGGAACAGGGAGGAGAGGGGACTACAGGTATCAGTTCCATCTGCTGGGGTGGTTTTTGTCGTTGACTTCTACATGTGATGCTGCATTTGGTACTTTTGAGCTGAACATGCACCCCTACACTGGCTCACAGTCTCTGATGGGCTCTGTGCCCACTGCCCACAGCAGGGTGCAGATACCCTTTGCTTTACTGCCAGCAATTCTTTGGGGCTCCCTCAGCTTCTGCCTGTAGGGTCCTATGCAGTGACTCACTCTGCGAGGCTCCTACCAAAGGCAGTGCCTGTCACACCCCAGCAGCCTTTGTTGTTATTTTTTTGTGTGTATTTTATTTGGTATTGGAGATTGAACCCAAAGCCTATGCCTGGAGTTACATCCTCAAAATTTTTAAAATTTTAAAATTTTGAGACAAGGTCTTGCTAAGTCACTAAGTTGCCCAGGCTGGACTTGAACTTGTGATCCTCCTGCCTCAGTCTTTCAGAGTGCTGGGATTACAGGCGTGAGCTACCACATCTAGCTCAGCACTGGGTTTTCAACCAAAATCTCTCTGGTTGATGATTTGTGTGTCTCTCCCAAATACCACATTTTTCAACTAAAGATGCACGCGGATGACAAAATTCTCTCAGAAGAATTTCTTCTGGAGCTCTAAACCCACCAGTCATTTATGACCGGGAAGAAATTATTCTATGAAAAGTTTTTTTGTCAAAACACTTAGCAGAACTCACAGGTAACACAATGAGGATGAGTGGTTCTAGAGTTCAGTGTTCTCCACGGCAGGCAATGGGGGGAGGCTCGGGGGCGGGAGAACCCCGGGGCAGGCCCAGGGATGAGTGCCGCACTGTGAAGACAGCCATGTCTTCCATGTTCCCCAAGTGCGTGCCACTGGCAATGTAATCGTTACAAAGCAGCCTTGCAGAGGAGGGAGGAGTGCGGCTGCTTTGGAGGGACAGGGAGGCTACTTAACTTACCTATGTCACCCAGCAGAGGCCAAGATCAACTGCAGTCCCTCTGGCTCTAAAACCATCTGCTCTTTGTCACACTGCTCTCTATAGAGAGGCTCCAGCAGGGTTGTCACGGGCCCTGGCTTATTAGGCTGGGGTCTAAGAAACTAGCTGCTGGATCAGTACAAGGTGTCCATGAATACACTAGAACTTCTCTTGGAATTGTGGGGTTGATTTTTTCTTATCACATGGTTTTGTCACAGGGATGGTAAAGAGAGCAGAATTCACCGTGCTCATAGCAGGTGCCCCTGTAGCGCGATGTTTAATTTTTCCTTTTTAAAAGCTCAGGATGTGTGTGGCAGTGATCAGGCCTGTGACACTGTCCTCAGTGTTGATTCTGTTGTTGTCAGTCTACACAGAGCTCAAAATCGGATTTCTCAGCAAGTCGTTAGCAGCTTACAACTTGGGTTTTTGATGAAAGAAAAAAAAATCATAATTTAAAGCCTTTATTCAAAACACTGTAGGTTGCCACACATTTTTCTATCCTTGTGCTAAACACTTAATTTACAAAACTTGATTATGCTTAACTCTTAAGAAGTGCTACAGACTCTGCATTTGTGTGTATTTATAGCCATATACATGATTTGGGGATCATTCATTTCTTAGAGTATAACCTCTTAAAACTGTATTTTCTCTCCATGCCCACCAGAATGTCTAACACTAAAGAAACTGTGTCAAGCATGAAAGGCACATGGAACTCTCACATGTTGAAGGGAATATAAATGTGTACAACTTCTTTGAAAAAAGGTCTGGTGGTTTCTTAGCAATTTAAATGTACACCTACCTTATGACCCAACAGTTCTGCCCCAAGTGTTTATCCAAGGTTAAAAAAAAAAAAAAGCGTTTGTTCACGGAAAGACTTACAGAAGAATGTTTAAAGTAGCCAAGCTGGGAGCAGCCCAGCCGCCCAACAAACAAAGCTTGGGGGCCTGGGGATGTAGACTGATGCAAAGAAACAGTGGCAATAGAGATTATTAACACAACACAGGTGAATCTCAAAAACACAAAATCAGTGATAGAAGCTGAAGGGCTAGAGACCAGTAGCTAGGGAAAGACGAGGGACCCCTCCCAAGGAGTTTAGATGGGTGGCAGAACAGGCTTAACCACCTGTGAAGAGCTGACAGCCTGCAGTTACACTTCAAAAAGGAAACTTGACCCTAAGGTGTGAAAGCCCCCAATGACCCTTCCCTAGTAACGAACCAAATAAACAATTAACCAATCAAGTAGGGGCGCCCTCAGTCCAGAGACAGGATAGGCCCCCTACTACTATAAAATCAATACCTTGAGCCCCCCTGCAATGGTGGCTCCCTTTCGGGTACCCCTGCCTGTGTCTCTGGGAGAAGGCAGCTGTACTCTTGCATGCTTGCTGAATAAAAGTACAAACTTCACTTTTATGCTTTCGATCTCTATTTGATTCTTCCACAACCTTCTGCGTTGTTGGGAGAGTCAGGCCTGGGATTTTGGGGACTTTCCACCTGTCTCCACCCACAACAAAGTGAAGCCCTAACCAATCCATGGTTAAATAACTCTGTCAGTGAGGATGGGGTTGGGGCAAAACAGGTCGTGAAGGGCTTGAGGGAGCTTCCGGAGGATCACATTTGCTGCCTTGATGGGCTGTGGTACAGAGTGAGATGCACTTGTCAAAACTCAAGGGAAACAGTCTTCAGGACTTGCACATTAGCATGTTTCTCTTCTACTTTAAAACTCCCCAAATATTAAACTCGAGTTAATATGCAAGCTGATAGAGCAAGGGGTGGAATGTATGGATCTTAGCAACTTCTGATAGCTGGAAATCTATCAGAAAAATAGGAGGGATGATATAGACACAGATGGAAACATGGTCAAGTAAAATGCTAACTGCAGAACCAAGGAAGCAGGTACACAGGTATTCATTTAAATCCCTCCAGTGCTCCTCTACATTTACAACTTTTCATAAAAAAGTGTGTGTTCAGCTGAGCATATGGACTGATGGTTACAACTGGAAGTTTGACATGCCATTTCAAGACCTGTGAAATAAACAAGATGAAGGAGGTTGAGACCAGCTGAAGCCCATGAGGTGGAGGTCCTCTCACATCCCTGGATTCCTGACCTCGAGCCTGGGCGTGGGATGCTGCTCCATGGCAGAACAGTGCTAGGAGCCGGCGCGGTGGCTGCCCATCTAGGAAGTGTAATATTCACCTCAGTAACTAGACAGACACTGATTTGTATTAATTTGATTGACTGATTTTATGAATTGTGGAGTTGTCAGTGAACTTAAATGCTTGGTGAAAAACTCTGAGTCATAATGACATGAAAATATCCCTCTTGATGTATTTAAATCAACTTTAAAAAAAATACCATAAGACATTTTGGCATTTAAAATGAGATCAGGATCAGTCCAATAGCAAGCAAGGAAGCAAATAACACTAGACGCCTTCCTCAGTATGCAGCGCAGTCACCTCGGAAAGGTGAATGGCATTTGGCAGCAATACCTCAGGTTTTTTGTCTTTAATGAATGACAATCAGAACCCACACCCACACTCACACCCCCACACACATACACACAAGTCCAGCCTATCATCCTACCCTGTCACACTCCTTTTAAACTCCTGTGGGATGGCTTGCATCTCACACCACTAGAATGCAGGCGATTGTCAACTCTCATCTGAACTTGGGGAAACTCCCACTTCGT